CCCTGCTCATCTCCACAGAGATGCATGCAAGCAAACACTCATCTATATAAAATAATCATAACATATCTATACAATTAAGAAAAAAAGAGGATGGGAAACCAGAACTAGCAAAGTGGCCAAAACTGAATATCCACTAGCATATAAGCCTTAGTATCCCATTGCTTCATCATTCACACTAAAAATGTAATATCCAACACCTAGAAAATTTGGTAGTCAGGGGTGTCTTACAACAGCAATTGATACTGGTCAACATTTGTAGTACATGCCTTGGTTCACAGAAAAATGCCTAGGAATTCCTATTTAAAAACTTTTAAATAAGATGTAAAATTTTCTTTGAGAGATTTTTACATTTGTACACATTGTTGATGGTCTTCAGTCTACTAATATACAAGTGTAGTAAGTCAGAGTGCTTTAACAATTCCTCCTCACATGTTATCAGACTTCTGCTGGTGCCCATCAGGGAAGGAGCTGCCAGGCCTCCCCCAGAGCAATCAAGACAACCTCTCACAGACATGCCCACAGTCCAGCCCGATCCAGAAAACCCCTCACTTCCCAGGGGATCCTCAATTGTGTCAGGTGAGCAATGAAAACTGACCATCAAGGGGTCTCTGTCAGAAAGGATATGATCCAAGTGTTTGTGATGGGAGCATGGGGCAGTGTGTCTGAGGGCACAGCCACATGCCCAAGGAACTACTTGCAGATCCAGTGAGCAGGTGGGGATTGGCCAGGAGCTACTGCTTGCTGTTGGTTTAGGGGCTCTGCAGAAATTACACCCTGACACCTGGGCACTTAGGAGCTGGAGATAGGAAGATCAGGAGTTCAAAGTCACCTTGGCCACATTGGGGAAATTGAAGCCAGTCTGGGCTACATGTGCCCCTACCTAAAAAAATTAAAAAAAAAAAAAGCAACAAAGAATTCTCTAGGTGGGGATGAGAGCAGCACAGGAGTCTGGCTAGGATTTTGTCATGTGACTGATGAGGGCTGTGATTGAAGCTGGGCCAGTCAGGGGCCAAGACCTGGCTAGATTCAAACAGGGTGCTCATCTAACAGTGACGATGACTGATTAGGGATGTATGCAGACATTTTATTTGGATTTTGGCCGTTGGTGGATAGAACCACAGCTGCTGGTTGAGCCCTTGGTGCACAGGACAACCTGGATAGGCCCTGACTAGCCCAGAGGTCAGCCGCATCATAGCTGAGGAACTACTTTTATTTCATTTTGTTTTCATTGGTAGTTGTTTCTGGCGCCTCGGCACGTGTGGCATCTCTGTGACAACTCTGTGGAGTTCTTCTCTCCTTCCAGCTTCCTGTGTGTTCCCAGGATTGAGTCCATCATCAGGCTTACCAGGTAAGGAAGCGCCTTTATAGGCTGAGCCAGCCAACCCATCCCAGTTTTTTCTTTTTGATACAGGGTCTCATGTAGCCCAGACTGGCCCAGAAGTTGCCTTGCATCTGAGGGCAGCTCTGAATTCCCGAGTGCTGGGTTGGGCCTTGAGCACAGGAGCTACTAACTTCAAAGCTCCAGAAGTCAGTAGCTCCTGTGGTGCTGTGCAGTTTCTTAACTGTTTCCCTGCATAGCACTGTTGCAACAGCAGTAAAACAGAGCCCCTCCCTACCTCTCTGATAGGTCACCACTTTGAATAGATTCATGTTTATCTCTAGGAATTACAAATTGTGGTTTGTGGGTTAGGATCACCCCAAGACTTGCTCAGCAGGGCTCCATCTTCAGCACCACAAAGAAGAAACACTAAGCCTAATGGCACCCATGTCCCTTTAGTCCACTTAGAATGCCTGTCTGGGGAGTTGAAAGGGTTTGTTGTTGTTTGTTTTTGAGACAAGGTCTCACTGTGTGGCCCTGGCTGTCCTGTAACTCATAGAGAT